CCCACCGCTAAAGTAATGTAGGGTTTTACCAAACTCAACGGTTGGCTTTGACTGGCGATTGTTTAATGCGAAGTGATTGAAAAGAAGATGTCAATAGCTAAAGTTGCAGCTGCAAGGGTGACGATACATATAAGCTACATTCAAAGTTTCATTGTAGTCTGGCTAATCGTTCCTAGGCTGCTTAACCCTCGCACGACCAGGCCATTTCTCATAACACGAACGACCAGGGGGGGGGGGGGGGGTTGTTACGACCCCCCCCTGGCGTTTCGAAACGGAAGGTCGTAGAGCTTAGCGGAAAAAACCAACGGATTGCTCTCAACGAGATCTCGCGATTGGTGGTATATTTTTTGGTCCTAGGTCAACATTTGACCTACTTATGACCGGTCAAAGGTCAAATTTTCCGAAAAAATCACACTTTTTCAACTTTCCGCGGCGATTGCGGCAAAACGGTGGGAGATATCGACTTGAAACCTTCACTATCGTGTTCCTTGATCAATTCTGTATCGTTTGGTATGTATTTCGTTTCCCTAGCTCTAAAAATGGCGCGTTGGGAGCGCCGGAAGTCGGCAAGGTCACAGTCGGCGGCAGAAATTCGAAAAATCAAAATTTAAATTTTTGAAATCTGATTGTATTTTTGGATTTGGGAGGTCCATTTGCTCCCTATAGAAGCTAATATTGCTGCATATTCCCATTGAGGTGACAAGAATTAGCAAAATAGTGGTTCGGGCGCTTTTCAAAAATAGTACCGGACGCTGTTCCTCTTGTGACGTCATAGCTCCGTGACCTGACCTGACCCGGTCAATTTTCTTGCACCACACGATAGCCAATGCTTGCCCCAACATGCATGGGAAGTTTCATCATGATCCATCAAACAATGTGGGTAGCACCGGCAGAAAACCTAGGGATTCGGCGCACACGTTTGGTAACTGTCGGCCGGAGGCTGTACCTCTTATGACGTCATAACTCCGTGACCTGACATGACCCGATCAATTTTTTCGGCAAAAGATGCGCAAAGGTTGCCCCAGAGGGTATTGAAAATTTCAGCCCGCTACGACAAGCCGTTTAGCGTGCACTTCGAAAAAACCTCAGGGGGGGGGGGTTGATACAACCCCCCCCAGGCGTTCTAGGGTTAAACCCCACATTACTTCTGCTGTGGACTGTACCACAGGCCTGCCAGCGTCCAGGGGCACCACAGGCCTAGCAAGGGCACCACGGGCCTGTCAGGGGCACCTCAGGCTCCCGTGCCCCCCCCCCCTCCCCCCCAGATCCGCCAGTGATGCCACACCACGCGAAACACCGCCAACTACCAGCTGCCGCGCCATAAACACGTGCCAACAACAGCCTTTTTTTAAGGTCGACTCCGCTCGCGCAACTTTTGACTGACCCTCACTGCTACTATGTATATTGCTTCCATATTATGCTGTGGAAAGCTTTACTTCACCAAGTGGCTAAAAACCTCCATCAAGGTATATTTTCTTAGCAATTTTTCTGGCGTTTTGGGGGGGGCCAAACAGGCCACTTTAGGCCTTTGGGGGGGGCCATGGCCCCCGTGGCCCCCCCTGGATCCGCCAGTGGGCAAACATCCTATCCAACATCACTGCGTCACGTCAGCGGTAAATGACCAAGCAGCAATGAATGCATCAGTTTCAAGCGGCGAGGGCGACGAAGGCACTCCCCTCTTCGATCTCTCTTTAGATTCTATTTGTCGTAAACTGCACACCGTCCCTGAGAAACGTTACGCGAACGACTCTCAGCCTACACAGGCGCCCCTTTTCGCATAGAGACGCCCCCATGGGTTTCCTAGGTGCCCCCTCTTTCGCATGTGGGCGAAAGAGGGGCACCTCTTTAGACCTAGCAGGCGCCCCTCGTTCCCATTGAGGTGCCCCTATGGGCTTCACAGGCGCACCTCTTTCTGTATGCCTCAGAGGCGTTCATCTTTGGGATGCAGTGGCCAAGCTTTCGTATGGAAGTTCGACTTTGACCTTTATGGGCGCCCCTTTTGCATGGCGGCGCCCCTTTTGCATGGCGGCGCCCCTTTTGCATGTTGGTGCCCCTACATATACCATGGGCCTCATGGACCTCAAAGGCACTCCTAAAGGCTTCACGGGTGCCCCTCGTTCGCATGCACGTGCTCCTATGGGCATCTAAAGTCGCTCCTATGGACATCCTCGTTTGCATTGAATCGCCCCTATGAACTTAATATGCGCCTCTCTTTTGCATATAGGGGCCCCTATGGCCTCACAGGCGCTCCTCTTACGCACCCAATTTCTTTAGGCGATAGCGTCCCCTTGAGGGATGGCGCCCCCAAATGGCAGTTTGTCCGCATCACTCCGTTGAACATTGTTACGCGTCTGCACAGACCGCACACGCATGAAATTGCGAAAAAACGCTTAGCTTAACGCCCAGTGGTACCAAAAGGTACCAACAATAATTCTGTCCCTAGGGACGCCAGGATTCATGACGAAACATCGGATTTTCTGCTTAACTGCAGCTACAAGTTCATAATCTTTAATGTAAACACACTTTGGCTAGAAAAATATTCACAGACAAGCAAATACAAACGTTTCCTTCTCCCGACGTCAGCCAGTGACTGTGGCGCCTCGAAACACTCCTCGCTTTTCTGCACCTCACACGAAGTTCTTCTTAGCATCACGTTATTTTTACCCAACAGCATATCCGGAAAGGAGACGATTATCCAATGACAGAATCTATGTGGCGAAAAAACGTATGGTCTCATCGCAGCAAGCCAAAATGTGCGTTGGTACCTTTTGGTACCGCTGGGCGTTAATGGGTTAACCCTCGCCCGTATTGGTGTTTTTCCAGCCGCGAACGTATAAGGGGGGGGGGGGTCCGTTGGACCCCCCCTTGCCGTTTCACCCCTGATTGAGCTAGAGCTTCGCGGAAAAAACGAGCGTGTTGCCCGTGAAGAGAGGAAGCCGATGATATCCTATTTTAAGGTCCTAGCTCATCGGTTGACCTTCCAGATCAGGTCAATGACCCAAAAGTCGGGAAAATCGGGACCTGTTAGAAAGTCGTAAAGCGTGGCTGCTATGGGTTTTTTTCGGGGCGCTGATCACGAATGTTATATTAGTTTTGAACACAGATGATGTCTTCATGCATTTAGGCCAGGTCGGGTCAGGTCAGGTCAGGTCAACCAGTAAGGGTATTCGTAGTAGGCGGCAACCGCCTCTGATAGCTTCGTAACATGTTACAAAGGCACCAAAACTACTTCGTAAATGTTCATATGGTTGCTAAATTCGAATTCAGCTCCAAAAACTCGTTAGGCGGCACGGGCGGACATCGATAGCAGCGCCTCTATCGGTCACTAGGGTAAGCTGGGCTGTAGGCGACAAAATACCGGCTGAGTTGTCACATGTTAAATAGGTTTATAGACATCCGTCGTGTGAAAAAGTTGAACTTTTGCCTTCAATATTTCTACAGGCAATTTTAGAAGTGCCTTCACATAGATTACAAAACCGTTTAAATTATTTTATTCACTTCAAGCCTTCCCTATTGTTCTTGATGATGCGGGAACTATTTCTAATTAGTGTTTCTAGCTTAGTAAAAGAACATATTGTGCAAACGATGAAAAAAACATAAATGGAAGATTTTAAATGCAATTTTCTGTAACAAATAATGGTAAATTCTCTACACATCAAGGGAAAGGTGCATGCTAACTGATAATTTAAAGTTCTTGGGGCCAGTTGTTTTCTTCTTTTCTTACGTCGCCCCAATGGCCGCGAATACACTTGTGATAACGCCTATCGTGGCCTGTAAAACTCGAAAAAGTGAACCGAGGTCATCAAAGGTCAATGACCTGACCTGACCTTCCGGTGACCTTGACACCCACCCTAATGCATGGGAGCAACATCATATCCCATGTTTGAACGCTTAAAACCACGAAAAGACTGCAAACGCGCCGCTAATGCGAGCCGACATACGCCGAATCGCGATTCCGGCCAAACATGGTCTCGAAAAGTAGGTTACTCGTCAAAGGTCATTAGGGTCAGGGTCACGAAAATTTCAGGGTAGGTGTAAAATTGATTAACTCGAGGGTACTGAAAGTTTCGTCGCGATCGGCCGCTTTTTACGCGAGTTATTTGCGAAAAACCGAGGGGGGTCCGTTCGACCCCCCCCCCCCTATACGGGTGAGGGTTAAGTCCATATTCGGTTGACGATCGGCCCTTTTTTGCGCGAGTAACCGCGATTTGCGGAAACCCCAGGGGAGTCCGTTCGACCCCCTGTAAAGTGCGAGGGGTTCCAAATAGACTTCTGGGAGCCAAGGTGTAATTTTTTTCGAGCATCAGAGAAGAACACTGACACCCAAATCACCAATGCATTTTCACGTGCTCGAAAACTCGGTACGATAAACGGCGATCGTGTTAGAGAATCCATATGCATTTTACAACCACCATCGGCCTTAGGCTCTATGGCATCAAAATTAGCTGCTGGGCCTTAGGATGAGCTATCGAGGTATATTTATTGCTTGAACTTTTGTCAGGTCTAGGCATTATTTGTTCAACTCGAGGGGAGCTATTCTTTACATGCTCTTCAGGATTTCGGCACACATTACAATGATTTTTTTTTCCGATTAGAGTAAGGTCGACGTCATGAAAAGCCACTGGTCGTTTTTTGGCGATATCTTTTGCCAGAGGCAAGCTACAGCGATGACAACAAGGCCATGATGAAAACACATTTACCATGTGCAGCCCGATACCAAGGATCAATTGATATTAACATGAAATTGGTCAGTACAATATTTGTGTTTCCTTTTTAAACCGTTGTGAAAACAGCTACGGCATATGCTTCCCTTGGTGCAATGCTTTTACTAATGATATTTTCGACAATTCTGTTTTTTCTTGCCAAAAGAAAGTAAGGGTGATAAACAGTCTTCGTAAGAAACGCAGTTTAGCAGTTGTAGAATGACCATGCAGTGCAAGCTCCGACACGTTTCTATGATAACAATGACCCCCGCCTTCCGTCTGCCGAGCTGCCCATAGTCGCCGAGTTACTGCCGCCTTCCGTGCAGCGACGGCTGCCTCCCCCGCGTCCACCGCGCCGCGCGGCGCGGCGGGGCGGGGCGGCCTCCTCGGTCGCTTCTCGATTCGTCTGCGGCCGCCGGCACCTGTGCGACGCCGGCCGGTGACCTCACGGCTAGGCGTGCCTCCTCTCAAACCGCCGGCAGCCCGATGCCCAGCGGCCGTCTCCTATATAAGCTGCGGAGCGACTCCCAGCAGCAGTCTGCAGCTAGCCTCGCTCGGGCATTACTGATCAGATAGTCCACTCCGCAGGTAAGCTCGGGGTCAGCTGCAGTCCACGACGGACCTACCCGTCCACTGTCTTCATTTGACATATTTATTACTGACGATTTGCTTCTGGTTGTCTTTCGTCAAGCTCTGGCCACGTTTGCCGTTACATGTCATGGAACATTCCATTAAACCCCTCGATTGTTTCACCGCTTATATTTTCTGCTTCGTATGCAATATATTATACACATGTTTGTGCATTAGAATCTTCAGATAATTTCCCTCTGAAAGTATACTTCTTCAAAAGGTTGGCGGCCATTCAGGACCAGGTGGAAGGTTTTGTTCCAGCCACATCCGATAGTATACTAATTACTAACCACGTTCGGCTCCAGTTCGCAGAGCCTCACGATGAAGTTCCTGTACGTGTTGGCTGCACTGCTGGTGTTGACCCAGGTCATCCAGGTGGAGGCCCTCTTCGGTCTGATCGCGCTCAAGGCGGGTGCCATCGGCTACGCTCTTGGCAGGGCGAGGTACGTTGGTGTCCGTGGAAAATATGGACGAGTTATGTGCTTGATGGGGAGATATTTCTATTGAAAATAAGGAAATGAGCGTTATTTGTAGGAACTGCTGAAGTGAAGTTGTCTGCTTCTATAATGTTCACTCTAAGCAATTCAACTCTGCGTTCGAATAAAAAGAATGCCAATTGCTGTGGGAGGAGTGGCTAGCGTTTTAAGCACATCTTAGTAACTAATTCCGGTAGCTGGTGTTGTTTGTTGCATTGTTGATCACAGTCTGGACAGGTAGCCAAGAGGTAATCGCTTCATCCTCTTACTTTTTCCCCTCAGCCGCGGTTTCCGTGGTGGCTACGGCCGTCGCCGTGGCGGCTACGGCGGCTACGGTCGCCGGTACGGTCGCCGTGGCGGCTACGGCCGACACCGGTACGGCCGCGACCTGACGGCCGTGCAGGAGCTGGACGAGACGAGCAGGGAGGGTCTGCAGATGGACGCCTACTTCGCCGCCGTGCAGCTCGGAGACGAGGACGGCTGCGGCCTGCGCCTGGTCTGTGAGCTGCGCACCATGGACCCTGCCCAGCTCGGCGAGGAGGAGAACATGATCCTGGCGCTGTTCGGGTGAGATATAGGGTCGAGCGTGTTCTCTGGTTCAGTTACTGGGTGCCTTTGGAGGGGTGGTTTAGTAGTTAGGTGCCCGAACGACGATAAACCAATGAGCTACAACAGAGCGTTTCAGCCCGATATTTCTACTATGTTTGCCTGGAATGTAGGGGCTTCTCATTTTAGCTATGAGATTATCATGTTTCACTCAAATAGTGGAGCTGTTATGCCCCTGTATCATAAATATTTCATCTGGTGTATAAGTTCTGGCATGCTTTGCTCATACGGAATGCACCACGAACATTGTCAATGTAAGATGTAGTACGCCCACCCAGCTTATGACAGAACGGCTGGTTTCCCATTAGTTCCCTGTCATAAACGGCCCTTCTGGCGATCTTTCAACTACCGTCGAGTCATGGCCATGTGCCTGAATCATATTCCTGCTGCCACTGTGGCGCGGCATAGAGAGTTCAATGGCTGCCTCACAGTCGGCATTTGTATGCAATATGCATCGTTGCATTCTCAAGAGTCGAGATATAACTGTACCCATGCAAAACGAATAGTGCGCCCAGTTTCCTCTACCGCCTTTTGCAGTCGAGGCAGTCATGGTGTGTGCAGGAGCTCTTAACGGTGCCAGCGCCACAAAACAAACATAAAAGAAAGCAATAAATTCCACCACGCCTCTTCTGCTGCTTACATACTAAACCTGCCCTCCAGTCTGGCAAACAACCAGAAGCGCCCGCTGACGATTATTTTCTCTCTCTGCAGCTCGAACGTACCCAGCTCGGGCCGTCCCGACTCGCCGAAGCTGGCGTATGACGCGGCTGCCGACCTGGGAAGCCGCGCCGGATCTGTGGAGGTGTGCGCCGAGACCTTCCACGCATGCCAGTACGGCTCCGCTGAGCTGATCCAGGCCATCAAGGACAGCAGTCCCGAGCAGTGAGCTCGTCCCGATCGTCTGCCGTCCCTCGTCTTTCGTCTGAGTTTCGTCCGTTGTGTCCCGTCTGAAGTCAGCTTTCGGCACAGCTGTGGGCGATTGCTGTTGCTTGTTAGTACCTACCTTACTGAGGCATTATGAGTGTTGGCTGTTCCGAGCACGCTGCTAGCGCTGATTTTGACAGCGTTAGCACGCCGCTGTTGTTTGTACGCAGCTTTACTATCATCATCTGTTCATGATTCTGTTCGGGCAAGTGAACAGACAGGCCAGTTCGTCCCGGTTCTGCAATGTTCGCTGCCAGACCCTGCAATGTATGACATCATCTTCGATTTCATCCGTGCTCAGCTATGTGGCATGAACAATACATGTGTTGAAAATGAGGACGCTGCCATATTATTCAAACGAAAGAAGGTGAAGAACATCACTCACAGCTACATATATGAATGCATCACACAAAAAGATAGAAGCTAGGAGATGAAACAAAGGAATTAACAGGAAAATATTTCATTGAGAATGATTGGTAAAGAAAGTGCGATTGTACTCACCACCAGCACACCAATTTTCTTGGGCCTTGTTATCTTTTTTAATCTCGATGTATTGTTTTACTTATTCAGTCATTACATACGCATCATCTGGACAATTTGACGATAAAGCGGATGGTTAGATAAAGATTGAATTTCTTGGAGGTAAGCTATGGTATTTCTGAGCATGATTAATAATGTAAATAGAGTGAATAACCTTATGCTCATGTTATATGTTGCAAATTGATATAATTAAAACTAAATTGATATATTTCGATATTGCACCGTCATCAGAATAAGAATAGCAATTAAGCAGCGAAACAAAGCCGATTCAAACGGAATACAAAACGTGCATCTTTTGATATGGTTCTCGTTGGATAAGGTCGATCAGTACGTACAATCATTCAAGTGCGTGTCAACATTTGCACATTATACATGGTAATGCTTTCAAATATACATAATGCCAAAAATACATATACGTTTACAATATACATACTTTACATAATAGTAGGATACATGGATGGATACATACTTTACATAATAGATGGATACATACATATGCACATACAATATACAATATGCATAATAGATACATACATAATATGTATATACAATATACATAATACACCTAATATATAGTTGTCTATTGTTACTCATACATACACAAACACATGACATATGACAATGTTAAACAATAGGTATTCTACAATATTGTATGCTACACTGGAGCTACCGGAGCCACTGGGGGTGTGTATGACGGGGGATTGAGGAGAGGCCATGATGAGGTTTGTGTGTTGAGGTGGGGTCGCTGGTTTCTGATTTCGATTGATTCGGCTATTTTGAGGTTTGGTACATCTTTACAAACTTTTTCGATCGACACGCTAAACGACTCGGGCCCTACTATGCTGGTTGGGTGTGTCCTAGCTACATGATCTCCGAGTGGAGTGTCCTTAGTTTGGTTTTTTGCGTCCCTCAAATGCTCGTGAAACCGCTCCCGGATGCGTCTTTTAGTTTCTCCTATGTAAATACTAGTTTTGTCTTGGCACATGTTACACACGATTTTGTACACAACGTTTTTGGTGTGGCAGCGACCAGGCAGCCCCGCCTCACAAGTGTGACATTTCCTTGTACCTGCCGGGCAGGGAGGACTTTGCATGGCTGACCTGGTGAGGTGTTGCGCTAGTGTTTTTCCACTGGTCCAAGCGACCCGCGCATTCAAACCCGAGCCCCTGAAGACTCCATCCACCCGTCGTGCTAGGGTTTCGTCGATGTATGGGAGTGTGATATATGTAGGTTCGTTTTTTGTTCTGTTTTTTGCTCTGTTTCTGCCGTTTTGCTCACTACTAAATAGAACCCGATGCTTAGTTCTCTGAATGAGTTTGTTCGGGTACCCGTTATGCCGGAACAGCGTTTCGATCTTAGCCATACCCCGCTTCCAGTGTAAGCGATCCGTCCTGTATTCACAGCTTCTACGCGCTAAACGTCTGGGATCTGACAAGGTGGCACAAAAGCGGGGTATGGCTAAGATCGAAACGCTGTTCCGGCATAACGGGTACCCGAACAAACTCATTCAGAGAACTAAGCATCGGGTTCTATTTAGTAGTGAGCAAAACGGCAGAAACAGAGCAAAAACAGAACAAAAAACGAACCTACATATATCACACTCCCATACATCGACGAAACCCTAGCACGACGGGTGGATGGAGTCTTCAGGGGCTCGGGTTTGAATGCGCGGGTCGCTTGGACCAGTGGAAAAACACTAGCGCAACACCTCACCAGGTCAGCCATGCAAAGTCCTCCCTGCCCGGCAGGTACAAGGAAATGTCACACTTGTGAGGCGGGGCTGCCTGGTCGCTGCCACACCAAAAACGTTGTGTACAAAATCGTGTGTAACATGTGCCAAGACAAAACTAGTATTTACATAGGAGAAACTAAAAGACGCATCCGGGAGCGGTTTCACGAGCATTTGAGGGACGCAAAAAACCAAACTAAGGACACTCCACTCGGAGATCATGTAGCTAGGACACACCCAACCAGCATAGTAGGGCCCGAGTCGTTTAGCGTGTCGATCGAAAAAGTTTGTAAAGATGTACCAAACCTCAAAATAGCCGAATCAATCGAAATCAGAAACCAGCGACCCCACCTCAACACACAAACCTCATCATGGCCTCTCCTCAATCCCCCGTCATACACACCCCCAGTGGCTCCGGTAGCTCCAGTGTAGCATACAATATTGTAGAATACCTATTGTTTAACATTGTCATATGTCATGTGTTTGTGTATGTATGAGTAACAATAGACAACTATATATTAGGTGTATTATGTATATTGTATATACATATTATGTATGTATCTATTATGCATATTGTATATTGTATGTGCATATGTATGTATCCATCTATTATGTAAAGTATGTATCCATCCATGTATCCTACTATTATGTAAAGTATGTATATTGTAAACGTATATGTATTTTTGGCATTATGTATATTTGAAAGCATTACCATGTATAATGTGCAAATGTTGACACGCACTTGAATGATTGTACGTACTGATCGACCTTATCCAACGAGAACCATATCAAAAGATGCACGTTAGGGTGTGTCACTAATCGCAATGCAAGGTGCTCCATCGATTTTATTGTGCTCCACTCATGTGGAAAGGGCGTGGCATTGTTAATTTCCCGCAAATTTTAACCCCCAGGCGGCGCCGAGCGAGAGAAGTTTGCCCTATCTCACAACATAGGCGACCCTAGCGCCCCTGGCGGCTGTTTGCGAAACTAACAGGCCGTTGACTGTATGGGCTTATCCCTGCTCTCTGTAAGCGCGTCTAGGGACAAATAATAGTATGGGCAGATTGCAGAGAGTGCAAGCTAATGACGAATACCTATAATGAATACAATATATTGTCACAGGGGCCCAGGAACATTCTTCAAGTTGGGGTGCAAGCCCAAAATACCTGACATGACGCATATGAAATAGTAGCGTAGTCAGGGGGTCCCAGGAGGCACGTGCCATCTAGTCCCCCCCCCCCATCGCATTCAGAGGACCCCTCGGGTCGGAGGAGCTCTGTGGCACCAGTTTACCGCTCAGGGTCTATGCTGGCCATATTTCGATTCAGAAAGAATAGGGCTCGTAACAGCACCTCATGAGTCCAAAGAAGCCTCACTAAATTGTCCATGAGGGTTACACGCCGGCTTCTGAAGGCTACTGGCGGCCTCTGAGGGCCCTTTACCGGCCTCTTATGGCCGCTAGCGTGCCTCTGAGAGTCCTTGCCGGCCCAAGAGGGGCCATATCTAGGGCCTTACGCCAACCTGTAATCAGTAATGGCCTCACACCAATGTCTCTGACGGCCCCATTACGACGACTGTGAGACTGAGGGCCCTCACTGGTGCTTCTGAGAGCCCACCCGGCCATAAAGACCCCTGCGGTACCAACTGACCTCCGAGGGTCCACGCTGACTATATTTCAGCTGAGAAAGATCTCACAGGTCTCGTAAGAGCACGTCATGAGCCCCTAAGTAGCCACACTAAGATCTCCGTCAGGGTCTACGCCGGCTTCTGAGGATCCCATAACGGAGACCGTGAGGGCCCTCAGCAGGGCCTCTGAGGGTTCACAACCAGCACCTCTGAGAGACCCACACCAGTGGTTCTAAGGGCCCATAAGGACACCACTGAGGGTCCCCCAAGCCAGTGCCACACCATTTATGCAACCCTATATTGGTGGCTCTGAGGTACCCACACCTGCGCCTGTGAGGGTTCGGCAAAAGCATATCTGACGGCCACCTACCTGCAACTCTGAGGACCCTACAACAGAGACTGAGGGCCGCACTGGCGTCTCAGAGTACCTTGTCGGTATCTAAGGACCCCACAGGGCTTCTGAAAATGCCGCCGGCCTCTGTGGGCCCCTTGCCGGTCTGAGGTCCCCTTCCCCGGTCGTTGAGGGCCCCTGCCGACTTTTAAAGGGTTCGCACCAGCAGCTCTAAGGGCCACACACCCACATGTAACGGACCCACACCAGCGTCTCTGAGGGTCCACAACGGCGTCTGTATTCTGTGAGGACCCTCACCGGCGCTTATGAGGGATTCACACTGGCACCTCTGAGGGGCCACACGGGCGTCTGTGAGGACCCCACACCAGTGCCTCTAAAGGCCCCTAATTGGAGGCTCTGAAGGCCCTGCATCGGTGATACTGAGGGTCCTACCAAAGGCACAACACAAGCCATTAGTCTCCTTCTGAGTCCCACACGCCGCCCTCCCACCATAGGCGGCGGAACGGGGAGGGCACCGGGGCACCGTGCCCCCTCTGATTTGGGCATTTTAACATTAGCCCTATGGGCGTTGCATGGAAAGAATGGGACCAAAAGTCGGCAGTGTCCCCCCCCTCCACTTAATTGAAGGTGTTCCGCCGCTACTGCCTCCCACCGGAGCGAGTAAACCTGTATCAATCAACGACTTTACCACCGTTGTACGTCATAATGTTCTCATCACGCCAAATCAAATACGATCCGGAACCAAAATGGTCCAGTATAAAATCTGACCTACCAAAGTTATGAGCAAGTTCAGATAAAATCAAAGTGGGATGACAATAGCAGGTGTGCTTAAATCGATGCCGAATCAGCAGAAACCATTTACATGCAAGAGAAATACCTTGTGCTGATGTTTATATAAAAACAGACATGTAGGTCCATAAAAGGGAGCAGAGATCCTTCATCGTTGCATCAATGTTGAGGGGGCGGCGCCCACTCGGCTCTCTGGAGGGGGGGGGGGTAAGCGCCCCCACTGCCCCCCCCCTGTTCCCCGGGGTCTATGCAGTGAACGACGCTACAAAAAAAAAACATGTGACACCTAATAGCAGGCACTATAAACATGCGCTCGTACGTATCCCGTCAGACCAGGACGGGGATCGGGGGTAGTACTATGCAATATACATTAACACAGAACTATTTCGTGCTTTAAGATGCATAACATCACATTTTCACCAACATTCTGAGTGCCAGACAAGCCAACAGCAAGGCGTCATTTCGGTAAAATGCATTTAATGATTATCGTAAGCTCACAAAGCATAGCGAGCGTGTTAGTTCAAAACATTGCCGCTAGGGGCGCTGAGGTCGCTAATGCTGAGAGATAGGCCAAAGTGTCGGCGGTCGGCGCCGCATGGGTGTTAATATTTGGGGAAAATAAAAAATGTCACACGGTTTCTATGTTTCTGGGGCACGATAAAATCAGTGGAGCACCATGTTTTGCGAAAAAAGTGCCCAAAATGACACACCCTAATGCACGTTTTGTATTCCGTTTGAATCGGCTTTGTTTCGCTGCTTAATTGCTATTCTTATTCTGATGACGGTGCAATATCGAAATATATCAATTTAGTTTTAATTATATCAATTTGCAACATATAACATGAGCATAAGGTTATTCACTCTATTTACAAGATTGAATTTTCTGATAATTATTTGTCC